GAGAGAGAGAGAGAGAGAGAGAGAGAGAGAGAGAGAGAGAGAGAGCATGGTCATTGTCCATCATAAGGGTCCTCTGGGACATCCACTAAAACTCTAACAATATAGAAGATTTGCAAGGCCACTCGGCAAGGTTTGACGCCCACAAATAAAAAGATGGTCCAAATTTATCATTAAAAATGATTTGTTATTAAAAAAAGAACTACATTATATGCTAGACAAGATGGCGGAAACAATACTGCAACTAACATGAGTACTGAGAGCAAGAGTCGATCACATATGTGCCGAAAAACTCGCACAAGAAAGTTGAAGAAACACTCCAAGCCGACGCAACAACAAAGACACTTCACATATGTGCCAAAAACCTCGCACAATTATGCATACACAACAACAGAAACAAAAGGCCTGTCATGGGATCCCTTACAGTCAGCCAAGCGGCGGAACTCTATCTGAAGCAGACAGAAGATAGCGTCCCTTTAAACTTTACACCACCAGTACTTGCCCAGCTATAGAAGCTGAGCCTTCGAGCACCCTGGGGGCCAAGTTGAACCGAACTGCCAGTGCGCCTTTTTGGTTTTCTTTTTGGGTGCGGCCTCCAGCCAATGTGGTTCGGTAGCCCGAAGCCCAAACGCCGCAGCGCATTAATGGGGAAGCACCGCGGCCGATGTGTGGGCCAAGTACTGGTGGTTTAAAGACGCGAGTTGAGTTGTCAAAGCTCAAATAAAAGTCACTATATGCAGGAACATGCTCCGGCCTTTGTCCCTGGGAACATGAGCTAACCTTTGTCCCTGGGAACGTGCTCTCTGGCTTTTGTCCATTTGTTTTGTGTGTAAAATACAATAAGCAGATGCACTACCAACTGGGCCACCCGGGTCACTCTGGTTGCCCAGGCGGCTTCGCCGGGCAAGGGACAGGCCAGGTCCCTGCTCCAAAAAAAAAAGAAAAAAAAAAGTTATGCAGAATAACAAACTGAACAACTTTTGCCTCAGGGTCACATCGGAATTCCCTACCAAATTGAAAACGAAGACCACAAGTAAAACAATTTTATTCTTTTCTGCGCTCTCCCAGAGGACCCCGAAGCCGGGCTCATTTCTTTTTTTGCGAGTTGGCTGTCAAAGGAGGGGGCGGGGGGGGGGGGGGGGGGTATAAATTGGTTTTAAAAAGGGGCTGAAGGGGGTTAATCGGGGGTGCCTTAGTGTGATTCTGTTATTTTCTTTTTTATCTCCGATTCTGTAAGGAATTCTGATGTGACCCTCATCCAAAAGTCCATTGTATTGCAAACACAACATTTTCTTTTTTTAACCGGAGTTTTTCTTTTTTGTTTTTTTTTTCGTTTTTTGCACTGCGGCTTTACAAGTTCCAATTTCTAAGTTGCTTTTCCGTCAAATCAAAAGCGCAATTGCGGAATAACAGGAATCAAACCCATATCCCCTGCCTGCTTGGAAGGCAGACAATTGGCCTCGCCGGGCAAGTGGTCCCGGGCCGTACCTGCACAAAAGTCGTTACCTTCAATCGGAGGCCAAGTAACTCGTGGAGTTGCATGTAAATGTTTTGTTTCTGAATGCGTGACAACCAACTGTTATGGACTTTTATTTCAAATTGTCTTTAGGGCCTATACTCACACTTGCGCTTTCTTCAATGTACGTGACCGCAATTGCAGCCGGACCTCGACGAATCTAACCGTGATCACATCCATGAGGGTTGTAGAAAACGCCTTAGCAAGAGTTTTTTTTAAGTTCTTATCAATATGAGGCGACTGAAAGACTGTCAATAATGTGTTTTTTTGGGGGAATCTGAGAGCTCGTGGCCCGTGTTTTAACTTTCAAGTGAATTTAAGCTAGGCTACCAGAGTGGTCCAGGACCGCTTGCCCGGCCGGGCCACAAAAGAAATTAAAAATAAAAATAAAATATAAAATAAAAAATTGTTTTTCAACTTCATTTTTATTTTAAATTTGGTAAAGAATTTCGTTTCTTTCAAAAAATTTGGACCATTTCTTGACTTATGTGTGTCATCCCTGCGCAGGGGCCATGCTAATCTTCTCTCTGTATTGTTACTATTGTTCCAATTTTAACGGGGATGTCCCGAAGGACAATTTGCCATCTGGTAAATAATTTCAATGTGACCCTAAGGCAAAAGTTGCTCAGTTTATTTTCTGCAGAACATTTTTCCTTTTTCACTTTTTCGTTTTTTTTTTTTTTGCTGGGACCTTCTTTGGTCCTTGCATGGCCAGGCCGCCCTGGCAAACAAGGTGACCCTGGTAGCCTAGGAAAAAAACAACTTCTAAGTAAATTAGTTAAAATTACATAAACATACCCATAAAAAAAATACCCAAATTCCTGGCCTTCGTACACCCACTCCTACCCACCCTTGAGTTCATTTTGGTGTTTCTGAAGCAGGTTCGTGCCTTTGCCTGGTTCAAAATTCAAATGCACCACTGAAGACATACTCACACTAGGCCCTCAGAATCACAAAATTGCAAAATGAGCGCCCAGATCGAGTCCTTCGTTTACAAGATCGCAACATGGCCACTCATTTCACGATTTTGCAATTCTGAGGGCCTAGTGTGAGTATGCCCTATTAACTGGTCATATTGTCAGTTGGTTCAAACTTCAAACCCATCGAGTGCTGATAATGGGTTCATGCACGATGAGAATCATACAGATTTCAAATTCCCAGTAGGCCAAACACTTGGGATTTTACATCAACACCATGCTCAAAGTCATCGACACACGGGACGACCGGACCAGAATTGCATCCCCGACAGTAAGGGGAAAACAGAGTCTGCAGAAACACCGTCGACAGGAGAGGCTACTTCACGACACAGAAAGACTCCGAGGAGCATATAGGTGAGAGACTAGCAAAAAGGACAAAAAGGAGACAAAGGTTAGTGATAGCATATACCCATCCCCTCACCAACCCCCCCAAGAAGGGGGAGGGGGGGAGGGGGGGAGGGGAAGAAAGACCTCGCCAGCAAAGCCACAACGGGTCACATCATTGTGGTAGAATATTCCTCGCGGGCAACACTTTGCAGTCTCCACATTGTGTATGGAAACTATGCGGCACAGGGGAGGTGGAGAAAGAGGCAGCTTGTGCGGGCGATGTGGGGGATGCTCATCACGAACAGGACAAGTCCTTGGCGACAAGGTGGGAATACTCACCTAAAGCGTCCTCAGGCGGAACAATTGGCACAATTCTGACCAGGAACATTCCGGAAGCTGCAGGAGCAATAAGGCCCCCAATCAGCTGCAAACAATTGGCACAGCTCTGAGCAGAAACACTCCAGAAGCTGCCAGAGCAATGAGGCCCCCAAATCAGCTGCAAGGAACACTACATGTAGCCCTACAAGATGAGGAAGAGTAATTTGGCGAAAGAACAGCCTTGGTTTACGCCGCGGTGATAGATAAGGGAGGGCAGTTTCTCCCTCCCGCAAGAGGCAAAATGAATGCTGCCTCTCCTGGGAGGTGGCGGATCAGATGCCCTCCCTTTTCTATTACCGGCGTAAACCAAGGCTGTCCTGTCTACTAGTTCCTCTTCCTCATCTGGTAGGGCTACACACAAACTTCTCGAGGTATCTTGCCAGCTTTCATCACTCCCCGGAATAAATTTGGCCGGAAAAAGAACACGGAATAGGAACATATGGAATGAATGCTGTCTCTTGGTCACAGACGAGAAACCAGCCTGACGCTCCCCGGAATAGACTGGATCCATAACGTTAAACATCCTTTTTCTCATTCTGAAAGAAGAGGGCTGGAAAGAGTGCACAGGAGAAAAATACTAACCCTGTTCAGTGCTTGCTTGAAATGAGTAATTGGCAAATCTGCTTCTCTGCCATGTCGGGCACAGTTGATCTCATATGCTTCGCCAAGAGTGCTGTACATAGGCTCATCTTCAACCAGACGAACCTGCATATGGACAGGTACGGATTGATCAGGATGCCGAGTTTCAATCGTGTAAGCTCACACTCGCACAAAAAACTTCTCTCTAGGATTCAGTGTCTCAGGAAGGGAGGAAACAGGAAAGGGATGCCACCCACCCACCCACC